CTTTTCAGACCGAAACACAGCTGCCTCCCCTCCTCCTGCTCGCACTAATAAACATGGACATGTGCATATGTCTGGGGTGGGAAAAGTGTGTGGCTGGTGTGAGATGTGAGTTCTAAATTGTTTTCTCTGGCTGAGTAAGTTATATATGAATTCTTTTTTTTTAAATATATGAATTCTTAAACCCCCAGACAGTCATACTATGTATTCACAATATTATACAGCACGGTGTCAGTTGGGATGAAGCACCTGGGGGTCAGAGAGACTAGAACACAAAGGAACCAAGTCCCTGACTTGCTCTTCACTGAAGTGTCAGCACCAGTACTGCCCACGCCGGTTGGCAGTCAGACGAGCTTGCCTCGAGCTCTCTGGGCCAAGGTCGGGCTCTGTGAGCTCCTTAACAGGGGTCTTCACTTCTTCTGCCGTCGTCGTCCTTGCTCAGACTGAGCGCGTTCTGTGTATGTGCCAGGCACTGTTCTAGTATGTTCTGTTAACGCATCTCGTACTGGAAATGCCTATGTGAACTGGAGAAGTTTCCTCATTTAGTCTTACCGCAAATCCGCACATAAGGAAACCGAGACACGAGTAGTCTCTCAAGGTCCATCCACAGCTGGTAAGGGGCAGAGCTGTGTACTGTGTCCCCCACACCTCGCTCGGAAGTTGGCCCAGCAGTGCTTCCCGAGTCCTCAGCCTGATGACCCCCTGACCTGATAATTAGAAGGGGCAGAGGTGAGTCACCATACTCAAAGCCTCACTAGAGGAGTGAGTGCTTATTGAGAGTTACAGTAACTATTTCAGGAGGAGGAAATGGTTCTACGTATCTCCTGATAAAAGCCGATCACCTCCCCACGGGGACAACATGGACCCCATGGCGTGGACCAAGGGGAGATGCACTTCCCCACGGCTGAGAGGTCCTCTTCCCTTCCCCCAGCACCTTGACCCTACTCCCAGCTCTGCTGTTGTTCCAAAGGTCCCACTGGCTGCCAGTCTTACACAGAACTCATATTGGGAATGTTAAAAGGGAATGCCAGAAGCCAAAATGGAACCCACAGGAAGGCAAGACCCATCTGTACCACCACGCTGTTTTCACTGTCGAAGAGGACAAATTTCAAATGTGTGCCCCCATCCTTGGAAGGTCCAGGGTGTCAATTGTCTGGGAATAGGATTCCCCTCCACCCCCCACACAAGGTGCTGCCAGCCAGAGTGCAGCAGTGGTTCCTGTTTGGTACAGGCAGAGCCCGAGCACAAACATCCCCACCAGCACCCCTCAGGGAGGGAGTGATGGGCTCCAGAAGTCGCCCTGGACGTGGACTCCCAAAGACAGCGTCTCTGACCTCTGCAGGGCTGCTGCCTCCCTCCCAGTCTCTGTTCACCCTGATGTGCACCATTAAATGGCTCTGTCTCCATTCACAAAAGCTCGCAAGATTGGGCAGCCTTCGGGAAGGATCATCAACTCTTCCAGGACAGCAAATTTCCAAAGTTTTTTATCTCATTAGTAGCTAATAAAGCTAATACTTTTGGCCAATATTTGATGATAATCTGGTATGCCAGCAGGTCTTTGACCAAGGCCTTAGGGACTGGGTCTGTTTATTCTCACAACCCCATGAGGGAAATACTGTTGAGGCCCATTTTAATGTCTGAAAACTGTGGCATGGAGCAATTAAGAATCTTCCCCAAGATGACAACCAGTGCGTGATAGAATGGGAACCAAGTTCTGATGGATGATGCAGCCTTTCTGAATAGTCACTATTTAGGTTTCAGGGGTGGCGAGCAGATGTTTCTCTCACCAAGCCATTGTTCTAACCAGAGAAACAGCAGGTCAAACTGAGGAGAGGAAGAAGGCTCAGATAACCTGCAGTACAAGTAAGCAGCAGGTGAAAGCATTGAACTAGAAGTGCCGAAGATGGTCATGATGGACGCCAGCCACTTTGAACTTGACCATAACTCAAACCCTATAAGCCTACTATAGAGTTCAAGAAATCTGGTCAGGGACCTCGGGCAGGTCAGCCTTGCTGATAAAATGTTCTGGAGCTTTTGTTCCTTTGGCTGGAAATGTGTAAAACAATAAGTGAGCCAAGCTCATTATATAAACTCAGAAAAGTCTGGAGACAGTCTGAGGAGCACAGGATGAGAAAGCTGTGGCGTCCAAAGGTCACTGTGAGCCCCTGTGGCTGCCAGCGTTCCTTGTTCCTGAAACAACACTGAGCTGGGAGGGAAGCTGGGACTGCCTCTCCTGGGAAAGCTTTCTGCTCACCAGGTGCAGAGGGGCCGCCTGCCCGGGGCTACCACTGTGGCCCTTGCACACTGGTTTGTCTCTCCACACAGCTGTAACTGCTTTCACCCTGGGGATACGGGCATCCCAACGACAGGGCAGGCCTCTCCCCAGGGCCCGGCATCGGGCCAGACCCCTAAGAGCAGCTTCACACTGTGAGTCGGGGCCCGAGTCCAGACTGCAGAAGGACAAGACAAAGGCAAGCCCAGCAGGCAGCTGGGCATCCACCGGAGAGCCCGGATACCCTCCAGGCCTGGCAGGACAGCTGTTAAGGCCTGGCTCTGTGGGCAGAGTGTCAGAGCCAATTGCCGCAGCCCCTTCCTTGGCGCCCAGCACAGCGACCTGGCCAAACCCCAGCCTGAGAGAGCTGGGCAGACCTGCCTGCCAAGGAAGGCTGTTGCCATTTTCAAGCAGGTGCTCTGGCTGTCTAGGAGAAAGGGAAACTTCAGAGAGGATGATGGAGGGTGGGGAAGGAAGGGGATCAGGTGACAGCCTGGGGCGGGAAATGGGCAGATGAGTCAGGGAAGCCTAGTTTTTGCCAAGTAACTTTGGTGGAAGATAAATAAGCAGTTCTATGGGGAAAGAACTGCAAGGAGGAGCCCTTGAGATGAGACTCTACAGGAGTTCAGCAGAGGGGGCCATAGTCAGCATGCAGGAGTTGAAACTGGGCAGGGCCCAGTGGGGCTCCTGGACATGGAAGCCTTTCTGTCCCCCTTTTCTTGTTCGTAGGGGACAGACTCCAGCCTCCATGCTCTTCCCTGAGTTCCAAAGGGACTCGCATAGCTGCTAATCAGGGAAGAAATGGAAGAGAGACACAAGGAGGAACAGTCAAGGAACAGTTGTGCAGCCTTGCAGCAGGGTCCTGGTTCCTTCTCAAGGGATACAACACATAACAGTATCTTTGACTAAGTGTGTTAGTCACTCAGTCATGTCCAACTCTGTGATCCCATGGACTGTTGCTTGCCAGGCTCCGTTGTCCTTCCAATTCTCCAGGCAAGAATACTGGAGTGGGTAGCCATTCCCTTCTCTGGGGGATCTTCTTGACCCAGGGATCGAACCTGGGTCTCCTGCACTGCAGGTGGATCCTCTACTGACTGAGTGACCAGGGAAGCCCATCTTTGACTAAAACTCCCAACAAATGAAAGATGTTAGCATTCTTCATTCCAGAGAAGGCCACCTGAGGCCGGATTGAAGGAACCAGAGCAGCTCATCCTGAGATGACCTGGGACCAGATTAAAGGAGTGCAGGCCCTGGACACATCCTAGTCTTATCAGTGATCCCACCCTTGAACCAGTACTATAAAACTCCGCACCAGGTCCTTCCAGGGTGGCACACACAGTTTTCAAAGGAAGAGCCTGCTGTGTCTCCCATTGCTTGGTAAAGTAATAAAGCTATTCTTTTCTCAGTTCAGTTGCTCAGTTGTGTCTGACTCTTTGTGACCCCCTGGACCGCAGCATTCTTTTCTACGTCACCCAAAATTCTGTCTCCAGATTCGGCTCTGGTGCACAAGTTTTTGGCATCAGTGTCATGGAATGCTTCTGTGGGTGGACATGTCTAACATATTTGAAGGCTGTCTGGGGTCCACGGGTGGACATGGGGGAGACTGCCCTAACAAAAACACACAGATAAGTGGGTGGATGAGTGAGTGTGTGGAGTTGGGATGCAGTGGAACCAAGAAACCAGCAACTGAAGTTTGAAGCTCAAGCCAAAAACTGCCCTTGTGGGAATCCCACTGCCAGTGGCCAGCTTGCAGGACCAGGAAGCCCTGTCCCGTCACAGTGCCCCACCCCGGGTGCAGGCCTCTTCAAGGTGACAGGGATGCAGGAGCAAGGATGCCTCCTTGCCAGGAGCCCAGCGTTCACACCAGCCCTCAGGCCAGGATTCAGCAGCTCCTAAGTTGGGCAGCGCTGGGTCCTGAGGGCAGAATGGAGGGGCCAGCCTCCCAGCCTTAGCCCTAAAGATGGTTCTATGCCGCCCTCAGAGCAGAACATGCTTCAGATTACAACTCTGGGACACACACGTCTTAAAGGAGCATTTTCCATACAAAACCTAATCTTGCCTTGTGTGAAGCACTGTTCTTTATTTTTTAATGCCGGTCTTTCTTTAAAATATTTTGTGACCCACTAGTAGTTGTGCCTGCAGTTCAGAAACACTGCTCTGTAAAATGATTTACCCACCTCTGTTCCCCCAGCCAGGAGGTAGGAGCACCAGCTCCATGTCCCTGAAGGAGAACCGAAGCCAAGCCCCCCAGGCCTGCTATAGTGAAGGTCATTGCAGAGCTGGGCCTGGAGAGCTAATCACAGGCTTCAGGGGTTGGGGGTGGGGGGCTGGCGGGGTGGGAGCGATCCCCATAGGATCGCTGGAAGGGCAGACGCAGGCCGGGAGTTGCAGAGGGCCAGGTTCAAATCCTACCTCTGTTAATTACTTGCTGTGTGACCTTGGATAAGTAATTTAACCTCTGAGTCTGGTACTCCTATTTTAGTATATGTGCTGAGCACGAGTCTCGGACTCCTAATTTGCAACTCGGAGATGAGTAGTCCCTCCAGGATTGTGACCTTCCTGTCCCCAGAAGAGCTCTGGGGTATTTGAGGAGCAGGCTGAGCAGGGTGGGGGACGGCACAGTGAATGCACATCCCTGGATTCTCAGGTCCACCCTGGTTTCCAAAATTCGACAGGGGCCTGCGGTTCCTCCACCTGAGAATGCTCGGGGCACTGCACGCACCAGGTCCCCATGCCCGCGCCCCGACACGCGTGCCGCCCGGCGTCACCTCGCTCCCCCTCACCCCCGCCCCGGCTCCAGCTCGTCCCCCTGCAGCGCCGCCAAGGCCGGGAGCGGTCTCCGCGCAGCTCCGCAGGCTGCCCTCTTCCCCCTTCTCCCGCCCCCAAAGGTGCGCTCCTCGAGGATAAAATGGGCGCCAAGCCGAGCGTCCCGGCTGTGCGGGCTGCGGGGCGTGTAAAACCCCCAAGACCCCAGCCCCCTCAGACTCCAGGCTCCAGCTCTCCCGCGGTCTAAGCGCGCCCCGACCTGCTGGACCTCCCCGGCCCCACGGAGGCGAGGACCCGGCGGCGCCGAGACGCGCTGACCGACGCAGGCGGCCGGGAGAGCAGCCGGCCCCATCCTCCTGCCGGCGCGACCGGGGCCTCCGGGGCCGCAGAGGGGCGGGGAGGGCCGACCGGACTTGCCGGCGGCGCCTGAATAGCCTAGTCGGCAAAGAATCTGCCTGCAATGCAGGAGACGCCGGTTCGATTCCTGGGTCGGGACGGTCGTCTGGAGAAGGAACTGGCAACCCACTCCAGTATTCTTGCCTGGAGAATCCCGTGGACAGAGGAGCCTGGAGGGCTACAGTCCATGGGGTCGCAAGACTCGGACATGACTTAGCGACTAAACCAGCACCACCATCTGGAACAAAGTAGCCTCGCGGACCCCAAGCCGGAGACACCCAGCTGCGCTCTCCTGAGGAGACGCACTCTCACTTCCCAGGTGCCCCTCCAGCATTGAGAAAAGGCGACCCTAAAATAAAAAGCCCAAATAGGCGTCCTTCCTCCACAAACCTGCCAGACCAGCTCAACGTCCGCGGCTTTGGCTGGGGGCTCCGAGATTGCCATCCCACCGGAACAGGCTCCTGGCTGTCCTAAGGATATTGACAGGCCTGAAGCCAAAGTCGGGGCCATTTTTTGTTCCGTGCGGTTGCAGAGTCAGGTGTCTACCTCTACGAAGAGACGTCTGGACACACAGCTTACACGGCCACCGGAGGGATTAGAGGGCAGATTCAGGAGAAAGCCATACTTTTGAACATGCTGCTTATTTTCTGTGTATGAACATCCTTTCCCTTACCTTCCTGGGAGTTCCTCCTCTTTTTTACAAAACCCTGCCTAAGAGCCTTTCCTCCCCCTTCTTAAGCAGGCCTCCCCCAGCTAATCTCAGGTCACTGTCAGCCTCTCTTCCCCAGGTGCCTCCTCTCTGCACTATCCGGCCAGGTGGTGATGCTTGAGTCTTCCCCGAGCCTCTGGCCAGGTATGGTGGAGCCTATCTTTCTCATCTGAGCTCCTGCATCTCCCATGGCCTGGCTCCTAGTTAACACAAGGGCTTCCCTAGTGGTCCAGCTGGTAAAGAATCTGCCTGCAATTTAGGAGACCGGAGTTCAATCCCTGGTTTGGGAGGATCCCCTGCAGAAAGGAATGGCTACCCACTCCAGTATTCTTGCCTGGAGAATTCCATGCACAGAGGAGCCTGGCGGGCTACAGTCCATAGGGTCGCAGAGAGTCAGACACATCTGAGCGACTAACACTTTCTCAGTAAGAAGGTTCTGATGGCCCTGTGGGAGGTGTGGATGCCGCAGGGCTGGACCTAGCTTTCCAGGTCAGCAGTTCCCCAGGCAGAGCAGACGGGGAAGGTCACACAGGAAGCTGGAGAATCCAAAGCCCCCTCCTACCCACACAAGTCGGGGCCCAGCATCGCTTTACTCCAGGAGGGAGCACCCTCGGCCTCAGTGGAATTACAGTAAAGCAGGTCTCCTTCACACACAACCCATAGCACCTCCCTCCCTCCTCCTTCCATCCAGCCTTTTTTTTGGCATGGGGGCCAGGGGGAAGGGGGCTTCAGTAGGAAGAGTGGGCCCCCAGTCAGAGTACTAGGTCTGAACGGCCTGTCATCACTGCTGAACTTGGTTCTCCATCTGTGTAAAAGAAGACAATAAATGGGACATCCTTGGCAGGACTAGTTTAAGGATGAAATAAGATGTGTTAGAAGCTTGATCCCGCACCTGGGATCTAACAGATGCAGCTGCTCAGGGTTCCTTAGAAACCTTCCCCTACCCAGTCCCAGCCCAAGCACCCCACTTCCCAGCTGGGGCTGAAGAAGCATGTTATCCTGGTTATCCTCACCAGACAGAGAAAAGAGCGGGCCTTTTTGCCTCTAGAAACATTTTTCAACATGAAATTTCCTCAAAGTCTTATGAACACAAGGCCACAAGTTGGGGTGCAGGAGATGCCAGGGTTTCCCCACTCTTGTAGTTCCTGTTTTTGGGGCCATTTCTATGCTGTGGGGGGACTGGGCTGGTGTCTGAGTTATCCCAGCGCCCTGTTCACACCTGGAAGACCCAAGTAGTTGTTCCACTGATCCCGCTGCTCAGTCCCGTCACCCTGACCCCAAGCCAGCGCAGCCTCCCCAGCCTGCCGTGCTGGGGGCTCTGAGAGCTGTCCTTCCCCGCTAGCCTCCAGGGAAGTAAAGAGGGGTTTTAACCAGCTGCTGCTGCTAAGGCCCTGGGAGAGGAGAACACTCACTCCCAAACACACACGACTGCCTGACCTCCCCCCCAACTGCCCGTCATCTTTCTCTCAGACCACATGTCTCCTGGGAGAGCTCACTCACCACACACACACACACACACACACACACACACACACACACACACACACACACACACACACACACACACACACACACACACACACACACACACACACACACACACACGACTGCCTGACCTCTCCCCATCCCCCACCACTGCCTATCATCTTTCTCTCAGGCCACATGTCTCCTGGGAGAGAACACTCACCACACACACACACACACACACACACACACACACACACGACTGCCTGACCTCCCCCTTCCCACCGCCTGTCATCTTTCTCTCAGGCCACAAGTCTCCTTCAGCAACCGTGCCTGCTAAGAGCTGCAGCCACACACACGGTAACCTGATTCTGCAGTGTTTTCACCACAGCCTGCCCCCAGCAGCCCCAGGTTGCCCACCCCCACTGATCCCATTTGAGGACCCTTAGCTCTGGTCTGTCTCATGCTCCTAAAGGCACCTTGCCCAGCGCTCCTCTTCCAGCCAAAGAACAACCTCTGGAGGCTTCCGCCTCAACCCTGGCATCACCCAAACCCCAGAGGCCTCCCCGGCTCCCTCTCTGGCATGCCAACACAGCCCACTGCCATGCCTGTGTCCTCCCTCCCCCTTCCCCCCAGGCCCCTGTCAGGCTAGTGAAGGTCAAGTGAACATTCAGCCCAAAATTTAGCGACTCAAGAGTGGGAGACGTTTTGGCTTTGCTTTTTAATAATTTAAGACTACTTCCAGAGAGTCCCAACACTTTGGGCAGTGGAAGTGCCAGGTGGGATGGCCCCTCCCCCTGCCCGAGTGCCCTGCCGTCTCCCTGCCAGAGACCCACCCACAGCTGCCCCCAGGGAGTCTGGGCTGAGAGCTTGTGGCTGAGGACAGCCTGGCACCAGCCTCACTCTGGGCGGGAGTAGAGGTCAGGGCGGTGTGGGGCAGGGTTGGTCTGGCCAGTCCCACTGGCCACAGCTGCACTTCCCTAAAGTTGGTCTCGGTTTCGTTTTGTTCCTTCAACCTCATATATCAAAAAGATTTCCCAGAAATCCTTAATATTCTGACTACCAGATAACATCTCTCAGATGTTCTCACACCAGACACATGTTGCCAATTTTTGGTTTGGGATATATGGTCCACTAAGGCTGTGACTCCTGGACACTTGGTCGATTTTTGGAAAAAGAGAAAGGTGTCAGATGGGAGCTGGGAGAAATGAGACTGAAAAAGGCAGGCTCAAGGCCAATATGGCCAAGTACTTTCTTTGGCTCTGGAGTGAGAGGAGCTGGGGGAGCCCCCGACAGTGTGGGACGGGGCCTGGGGGTAAGGCGATGATGCTTAGGGACCAACCGAAGGATCCACCGAATCTCTCTCCTCCTGCTGCCAACAAAGGTGCCAGAAGACGGTGACCCCACCTCAGGCCTGGTCAGGGCCGGAGACCCATTCCCTTCCCTGCTTCTGCATAAATTAACATCCTTAAACAAAACACACAAGCAGGCTCCTTCCCTCTGCAAGTATGGTCAGTCACAGAAGCCTGACTGGCCCGAGGGGCTGCACGCCACCGCGTTCATTTTCAGCAGACAAAGCAGCTTTGTGAAGCACATTCCCAGCCACCCCCGGGGGCAGTTCGGGGTTTCCAACGGGGCCGGGGGGGGGTGACAGTGAGGGCCAAGGCACCTCTGCGTCACTGTGGGACAGGCCTCTGCCTCAGCACCCGGATTGACAAGCTCTCCGCACGGGCCAGGAGCTCCCTCACGTGAGCCAAGCCCAGCCCTGCAACCTTGGCCCCGTCCACCTCAAGAATCTCATCCCCCACCCCCAGCAGCCCCGAGTAGAGCTTGGCGGTGCTCTTGTCAGCCATCTCCTGCACGTAGAACCCTGCAAAGGAAAACAGGAGAATTAACGCAGGAAATCCAAATCAAAGACACGCAGCTCTGTGGAATGCCGTCCAGCTGGGTGGTATGGGGGGGTGGGGGTGGAGGGGAGGCAGGTGCTTATCCAAGGTGCTTCACGCACACATGCACGCACATTCCCTCATTATTCCACTTCACAACCACAACTCGCTTTATGATAGAGCAGGCCCGCCTCCACTTCATTTTTCCTTTTTTCTCTTTTAAAATGCCCCTAATACAAATAATGCCTTAAGCTGTTGTTATTCATGTATAACTCAGTGTGAATGAGCTAAACTTATCTTTTTCTGGGAGAAGCTTTGATTATAAAATAAAGAGGAAAATGTTAAGACCTATGACATGCCCGGCCCTGCTCTGGGTGGCATTCACAAATAAGACCCAGTTGCTGCTCTCAAGTAGCTGGGGGTGGGTGGTATCATTGGAGCCACAAACAAGTGAAAATGTTAGTCACTCAGCCGTGTCCAGCTCTTTCGACTCCGTGAACTGTGGCCCGCCAGGCTCCTCTGTCCAGGGTTGCCATTCCCTTCTCCAGGGGATCTCCCTGACCCAGGGATCGAACTCATGTCTCCAGCCTTGGCAAGCAGGTTCTTAACCACTGGTGCCACCTGGGAAGCCCAGGGAATAGCGAACAGGCTGAGGTCAAATCCAAACCTCATTTACTTCACCAGATTGTCTAGGACCAGCCCTGGCTTCAGTCTTCCTTGGATATGGATCCTTAGAATTCAGAGGCATCTGGGCAAAAGCCCAGGAAACACAGGAATTCTGGTTGGTTAGTTGGTTTAGTCGCTAAGTCGTGTCCAACTCTTGCGACCCCATAGACTGTAACCCACCAGGCTCCTCTGTCCATGGGATTCTCCAGGCAAGAATACTGGAGTGGGTTGCCATTTCCTTCTCCAGGGGATCTTCCCGACCAGGGATCAAACCCAGGTCTCCTGCAGTGTAGGCGGATTCTTTACCAA